GCACACCTTTGCCCTCCTGAGTGGGTAGTCCCAGGCTGAGTTGTTTTGCATCCGGTTGCCTTAAATAGAGACGTAAATCTTGTCTCGGGCACCCCCATTGTTTCGCACTCACTGGAGGGGAAATAATCGCACGCAGGAGTTCTCCTTAACTGCAGAAGTGAAGTCTGCCCACCGTGAGCATTTGTTCACTACTGTTCCCCAGAACGCTTCAAAGCCAGTCGTTGACGTCGTTGACCGTGGGCATGTGCAAGGCTACACTGAAGCTTAACAACTTCTTTTTTTTTTCCCCTTTTCTGAGAGAGTTGAGAAATAGAAATATGTGTAAACGAGAATGTAGTTTATAAGTAGGATATATTTTCACATAAACAATCTGGTTCCTCTGGCTTTTGTGTTTTTAAGGTCATTGATGGTGTCATGTAGAGGTAATTTTTAAAATGAAACTTAGAAAAAAAAACTTGTTCCAAAATTTTTAAAATTGTTTTTATTCATGATAGAGTTTGTGTGTGTGTGAGGGAGATGCACCCTCTCAGGGTCTGGTCACACCCCGATCCCCCTCCTTCAGCCCATGGCTCCTGGGCAACTTGCCTTAGTACCTGCTGAGTTTCAGGCCAACCTGCTGGGGATTCCAACTTTGCCATATGGAATCCAGCAGTGCCCCGGAGCACCCCTCATTCAAAACTGTTTTGGTACACAAGTGTTACATATTTATTGTAAAAAAGACAGTATCATTATAGGAACTGTCAGTTGGAGTTAACCTTTCATACACTTTCAAGTGTGGAAGTTTATATTTTCAAAAACGGACCCTTCCTATTTAGTAACCTTTTTGAAAAGTTATCATATAATCAAGCTTAAATTCTGAGCTCTTTCTGTATTCTCAGTAGCCATATTTTCCTCTTACGTAGCAGGGAGAGACTAAGTGCTGCTTTATAGAGAATGATCACAATGCCCTGTGCCAGGCACATAATGAACATGTCTCTCTGCCCTATTGGCCCCCTCTCACTGCAGAGTCCAGGCCGCTTTATCCCTAGCAATATTACTGCTGCCACTTTCTTTTCTTTTTTTCATCTTTTTAAAATTAACTCTTATTTGTGGGGAAACAATATGATTTTACAGTACAAGAATACAACGTGTTATGTCTCATTCAAGATAGTGAACATTCGCAGCACCTCAGTTATTTGTCATTACTCGTGTTGGGAGAAGTCTCCCTTTTAATTACTCTGAGAGACATACCAAGTCGTTGCCATCTATGTTCTCCCCAGTGTATCTTATAACACTAGAAATTGTTCCTCCCATCAATCATTTTATCTCCATTAATCCCCCTCGCCCCCACCGTTCTTTGCAGCCTCTCGCCATCATCCTTCATGATTTTGTTTTTCAATTTCCACACGAAGAACATGTACCGCTTTCTTTTGATCAGTATTTAAATGATATGTCTTTTTTTCATTCTTTCACTTTTAACCTATGTCTTTTTTTCTTTCTTTCTTTCTTTTTTTTTTTTTTAGATTTTTTTGCCATAGTGTGTGCTCGCCAAAGAGAGAGAGAGTGAGAAATAACCCCTCCACACACCTCCTGGAATGACTGCACCACAACCCCTTCTCCTCTCGGGATTTTGGGCATGCACACATACATGCCCAGTGTGGGTACATGTGGGCGTGCATGCCCAGTGTGAGTTTTAGCACGGGGTCCAGGACTCAAACAGCCATGTGGGAGTCCAGGACCTTAACCACCACGCCACCTGCTGGCTCCCCGTCTGTGACTTATTATCATAGTGGGAGTTGGGGAGCCAGACAGTGGTGCATTGGTAAAACTGGAAACTCTTTGAGGCTGAGCCACATGTAAGGAAGGGTTCCAAGTTCACTTCTGGATACTTCCTGAGTATACAGGCACATGTGTGCCCATGAACCAACGTTGTCTGGGGGTGAATTATGCTATCAAGATTGTTCATGTGTGTGGGGGGGCATTGCTATTGCTCTCTCTCTTGCTCATGAAAGAAATAACTTTTTAAAAAGAGGACTTATTATGTGTGTATCAGTGGAAGACACCTGGCTTATTCGGCCCAGCATGGTAAAGAAAGACCATAAGAAAGTATTAAGACCTGGAATTTTGTTTGTCAGCACTGATACACTACTGAGGTTGCCTGGTGTGCTTTCGCACCTCAACAAACTACCATGAAAACCTTAGCTTCTAGGTCTACCTTCCACCTTATATCTTTCATCAATTGCATTTTTTATTTTTACATTTGCTAGGTCGTTCAAACTCATGCTGTTGTGGAACCATATTTTGAGTGTTTTGTCCATAGAATGTCTCTAAAAATTGAAATCCAGGAAATAGTATTTGTTGTTACAGCTATAGCTAAATACTGTTCACTGCAAAGTCAAGTCGTGTGCTCGGATTATCAAATATTTTGTGGGTCCATGTCATACTCCGTCTGTTCAAAGGGAAATTTCTAAGTCCACAGTTAAATGAAATCTTACATTCCATCCAGGGTGTAAAGTTGGACACTGTTTTTGTTTGTATCTTATTTACACAGTGCCTTCCCTTTAGTGTGTTTTTATTGTCCCAGAGGATCCCCACACCCCCATTGACTAAAAAAATAATATTCCTTCATCTTTAGCTTTTTCTGTCTTTAGATCTTCCTTCCAGCCTCTTTGCCCTCCTGTTCCCATCTGGATCTGTTGCTCTTGCACTGGGACTCACTTATACCCCGTCTCTTGGATTGGATTCACTGTTTAGCTCTGTCTTTTTTTATCTTTTTCCCCCTCATTTTCATTTTAGGGAACTAACACCTTAAGTATGTTCCCAAGAATAGGTGCAAAACAGGGTAATTTGTGCATATATCAGTTTGGTCTCTCTCAGGAACCAGCAGATGGAGTAATGGTTATGTTGTTGGACTCCCACGTAGTAGACTGTGGTTTGAGTCCCAGACACAGCGGCTTAAACTTCATGCTGGGCGCATGCGCATACATGCTTACGGTCCTGAGAGGAGAATGGAGGAGAGGGCATTGCAGCGTGGCCATCCTTCACCTAGGGGGTGATTTCTCGCTTTCTGTTTCTCTGTCTCTTTTTTTCTCTCTGGTGAGTGCACACACCCTATAGCAAAAATCTCTCCAAAAAAATTTTTTTTTGGTCTCTTTCATTTTACTCATCCTTTGCACAGTGTTGATGAAAACTTTGATTCTGGTCAAATTCTCTTTTCCTTTAGCTGTTTTTTTTCTCTTTGGAACATTAAATTTTTTTCTTTATTTATGGTGGAGTGTGTGCACACATAAGAACAAGGTGGGGTGGGTGGAGAGCACCCGCCACGGGGTCTGGTCTCACCGTGATTTTCCTCAGTCCTTTTAGCCTGTTAGATCCAGGGAGTGTGTGGGGCACGCTGGGGATTTGAACCACAGTCACCAGGTGTGATCAGGCTTCTTTTGAGCAGCACATCTCCACCAAGCCACACCCTCCCTAAAATTTTAGGGATTTTTTTCCATTGATATTTTTGGAATTTAACTAGAATGTGCTTAAGTGTGGATCTCTTAATGGCCTTGGTACTTGGCAGATTTTATAATCTGAAGAAGCATCTATTTCTTTAGTTTTTCTTTCCATTGATTTCTTGCATAATTTCCTTTCTCTTTTGTTATCTTTGTTTTCTTTCTCTGGCACCCCTCTTAGATACATTTTGGATTTCTTGGATTACACCATGGTAAATGCATAGTTCCTATAGCAAAAACTAAATAAAATAAAATAAAAAGAATAGTTTGGTACCAAAATAAGATTAAATGTAAATTACTTAAGAATTACTTTGATAGGTGAAATTCTTACTCTTTTCCATTTTCACATGGCAGATTATTGTAGTTATTTTGAGGTCTTCCATAGTGCTGATTACAGAATAAGGATATAAGCAAATCCTACCGTGCTGATTTATCTTAATTTTTTGGCTAGTTAAATCAGTTCAAAAATTAAAAAATTGCTGAAAGATATATCATAGGGAACCAGCAGTTAGCGTAATGGCTTTGTTGCTGGACTCCCACGTAGTTGACTGTGGTTCGCGTCCCGGACCCGGTGGCTTAAAAAACTCACGCTGGGCGTGTGTGCGTGCGTGCCCAAGATCCCAAAAGGAGAATGGAGGAGAAGGGATTGTGGCATGACCATCCCCCCTGGGGGGTGATTTCTCGCTTTCTGTCTCTATGTCTCTGTCTGTCTGGCAAGTGCACGCGCCCTATAGCAATCTCTCCAAAAAAAAAAGATGCAAAATAAAAAGTCTCCCTCCCATGCTGCCCCCATCTGCCCACTGTCAGCTCTCCCACGACTAGAGTATCCCAGAGAGAAGAGCTGTTGTTAGTTTCTTATATATGTCTAGCCATGAGCAAAGCAACTTTGAATATATAATATTCTTTTATTTATTTATTTTAGTTTTGCTATTGGGTACACTGGAGAGACAGACCAGGGAGGGGGGAGTGAGAAATCACCCCCCCTGGGGGGATGGCCACCCCGCAGTCCCGACTTCATTTTCCTCTTGGGATTTTGAGCAAGCTTGCAACGTGCCCGGCATATTTTTCAAGCCCTGGTTCTGGACTTAGCCACACAGTCAGCCATGTGGGACCCAGCCCCTTAACCTCCATGCCACCTGTTGGCCCTCCTTTTATCCTTTTACACAATGGATAAGATGTCTCTATTTGATAAAAAGGGGGGAAAGGAGGATTTTGAAAATACGCAAAATCAGTAAAACATTTTTATATATATGTATGTAATTTTTACATTTCTTTTAACAGGAAAAAATTAAAGAGTACATCCAAATACATTTATCAAACATTATTTTTGAATGGTGAAAATAGTGATATTAAGATTTGTGCTCTGGGAGAAGAATGGAGCTTACACAAAATATATTTATGTCAAGTAAGTGTTTTATTTTCCTTGGAGTTACTCGGGTAGTCACTTTAAAAACTCACTCTTAAAGTCATGTTCTTGCTCATTGCATTTCACATCAGTATTTTGCATGGACAAGTCCTCTCCTCTGATAGAGAACCTGTTTTGTTAGAAAAATGGCGAACATTGTTAATGAACTTAGTTTGGCCTAGAAAACAGATTTTCAGATTTCGTACACTATAGACCATCTCAAGTTAGTGCCAGAAACTTTACCTCTCAGGAAACTAGACTAATTATAGTGTAAGCTACTAATATATGCTAAAATATAGCTGCCACCACCCCCCATCCCCCCCAACAGAAACAGTGCGATTTTGTTTACTGCCGTGTTCACAGTGCTTTACGAACTAAGTGCTCAATAAAATAAAAAAATAAATTAGTTAGTGTTTGATACACACTGCTGTAGCATTACCTCTTCGTCATTACTTCAGTAGGTGCTTATTTTGGTGCCTTCTGTTGTTAAAAGGGGGATACTTAGAGGGAAAATGTTTTTATGGTTAAGCTATTTACAGTCAAGCTAAGATTACTAAACTTGTTTATGATATATGCATTAAAATTGGTTAAATCGATCTGAAATGTAACTTCATCAACTCAGATTGAATGTGAATGGAAGGATCTCAACACTTGGTTTCCTCCTTTCATAGAAAACCCAGTTAAAGATAGGGCCAAAGGAACCAGCAGTTAGCGTAATGGCTATATCGCTGAACTCCCGTGACTCCCATGTAGCCCACCACGGTATAGCCGACCACGGTGGGCGCATATGCGTGCGTGCCCAAGATCCCGAGAGGCGAATGGAGGAGAAGGGATTGCGGCATGGCCATCCCCTCTGGGGGGGTGATTTCTCAATTTCTGTCTCTCTGTCTCTTTCTGTCGAGCGCACACGCCCTATAGCAAAACCTCTCCAAAAAGAAAAGATAGGGCTATAAAAAGGATATAGACTGTTATTTTCCTGGAATACCTATTCAGTTTCTATCTGTCAGTACTATGGTCTGCCATCCCATTTTAAAAATTTGGAACTTTCAAAATAGAATAAAATATTGCTCTAATAACTTGATTATTTTTTCATCAAATGTATTAGGGATTGTTCTAGTCACTGGAAATGGAACAACAATTTTTTTTATCCTTTGGAGCTTTTGTTTTTCCTTCTCTACTGTTTAAGAACAATTACTCTTAAGACATTTGGTATATAATTTTGCAGTAAAAACATTTTTATGTATTTTTTTATTGGACATGTGCATTTGCCAGAGAGAGAAGCACAGAGAGCATCCCTCGGGGAGGTGACCATGTCACAGTCCCTCCCTCTCCATTTTTCTCTTGGGATTTTGGGCACGCGTGCACAAGTGCCCAGCATGTTTTTCAGTCACAGGGTCCAGGACCAGACCCCAGCTGCCTTAACCACCACGTCACCTGGCTGGCCCTCAGTAAAAACATTTGAAGGCCAGCTAGGTGGCATGGAGGTTAAGGTGACTGTATCCCATATGCCTAACTGTGCAGTTTGAGTCCTGGACCTGGCGGCTTGCGAAACATGCTGGTGTATATGTGTATGTGCTCAGAATCCCAAGAGGAGAGTGGAGGTGAAGGGACCGTGGCATGGTCATCCCCTAGGGAATGATCTCTCACTTTCCCTCTTTCTCTCCCTTCTCTCTGTCTCTCTAGCGAGTGTATGTCCCTATAGCAAGCCAAAAACAAACAAAAATGGAATTTTTTTTCTCAGTATTTATAACATTTATTTGTTTGTTTATTTGTAAATTTTAAACAAATTTACTTTGGCTTAGAAGTATATAGCCCTGGGACCAGCAGTTAGTGTAATGGCTATGTCGCTGGACTCCCATGTAGTCAACCGAGGTTCGAGTCCCAGACCTGGTGGCTTAAACTCATGCCGGGCGCATGTGCATGCCCAAGATCCCCAGAGAATAGAGGAGAAGAGATTGCCGTGTGACTATCCCCCCTGGAGGGTGATTTCTCACTTTCTGTCTCTGTGTCTCTATGTCTTTCTGGCGAGTGCATGCGCCCTATAGCAAAAACCTCTCCAAAAAAAAAAAAAAAAGAAAGAAGTATATAGCCCAGAGAATATATTAGAATATTGGTCTTAACTCAAGGGTGCAATCTATGATCTTTCTTTTTGATCTCAAAGTAATTTTAAGACTTTGAGGGAGAGAATACTCTCTGTTAAAACTCTACCTCTCATGGAAACTAGATTGATGATCATTCTATGTGCCAAAATACAGCCTGATTCTTTCCCAGGAGACAGAAGGTTATTTTATTTACTGCTGTAATCACAGTACCTTACATATTAAATACTTAGTATATATATTTTAAAAGATTTATTTAATTTTTATTTATTGATTTTTTTTTTTTTTAATTTTTAATTTGACTAGAGAGAGACACAGAGAGAGAGGGTGAGAAAGCAAGCCACCAGGTCCAGGACTTGAACCATGGTCGGCCATGTGGGAGTGTCCAGAGTCTTAACCACCATGCCACCTTACCTGCTGGTGCCCAAGTACTTAATATTTTAAAAGTAAATTGGTTAATATTTGATACTCTCCAAAGTAATTCTAATTATAAGGGTTACTATGTGCTACTAAAGACTGTATCCATCCTAATACTTTTCTAACAATTCAGGTCCATTCTGAGATGTTCTAAAAGAGAAAACTAAACTTTGTATTTTCCCTAGCTTTGTGGGGAGTGGGTCATCCTATTAGTTCTAACTTGGGACTGGTCTAGACCCTTGATAGCCAGTGAGGTATGGTAAGGATTTAAGAGTAAGGACTTTTAGTTTTCTCTCCACCTCAGTATATTATGTGTTCATTTTGTATCTTATTACATGTTTGTGAGAGATACTTAGATACATAGTTTGTGAGAGATACTTAGATACATAGTTTATAAATAAGTAAAGAAGCTAACAGTGTTCAAATGGTAATATAATTCAGTTCAGATAGTAATATAAGAATTTGACTTGGGGGGACCAGCAAGTGGCATGGTAGTTAAGGCACTGGACACTCCAACATGGTCAATGACGGGTCGAGTCCCGGACCTGGTGGCTTGCTTTCTCACTTTCCCTTTCTCTCTCTCTCTGGTCAAATTAAAATGAATGAATAAAAAATTATTATTTTTAAAAAATAAAAAAAGAATTTGACTTAGTTTTTGCTAAAATAATACTAAGCTGAAAGTACATTGACGTATCTAAACATTGTCTTTGTCTTAATTTCTTTTCCCGTATGAGTATAAACGTACTTGGCATTTTTTCTCTTGAATTATTTTAGTGATTACTTTTGATAGAATAGTTTATTAGAGCTAGAAATAGGAAGGTAATTTATAAGAAACAAAAAGTACTGGATAATAATTGACTTTTTTTTTTTCTTCTTCTTTTTTTTTTTTAAGTCTGGCTACTTTTCTAGTATGTTCAGTGGTTCTTGGAAAGAATCCAGCATGAATATTATCGAACTGGAGATTCCTGACCAGAATATTGATATAGAAGGTAACCACCACCATAATTACCAGATACAAAAATCATAAAAACATAACCATTTTATTCCTGTGGTATAAATAAATATTTTATTTTGGTCTTGTAGGCTAGGAAAAACATTTAGTGCCTCAAGGTGATCATTTTATATAGATGTATACTTTAGTTATGTTCTTCCTCTCCCTGATCAGTTTAGTCATGTGGGTCTAATCTGTTTACTTTGTAAATATGTCTGCCTATGAAATGGTGGATATAGAGTGAAGAAAGGAAAAGTATGACCATTTGTTTTATGGTTTTTGTTTTTAGTGGTTTTTTTTTTTTTTTTTTTTCCCTTTTGTTTTTATTTCTCAAAAAAATTAGCATTTTTTTTAATTCTATACAAAATCTGGTAAGTAATATTTATTGCCCCCCCCCCCCACTTATGAAGAACTTTTGAGGGAACCTGTAATCACCATTGTCTTAGAGCTAAAACAATCTTTAGCTGAGGGAGCTAAGGCCTGGAGGACTTAGGGACCTATTCTGGATCTGTTTTCTGAGTGGATATCAGACTGTCTAGCCTGACTCCTATTCCAGTGCTGCTCCTGCCCCCCTCATTGACAGCCAGGTGGAAATGCCCAGTGCTCATCACCTAGGAAAAAGACAAGTCAGGAATATTTCCAGAGCAAGCCATGTGACACATTCCCGACTGCAGCAGTGGAGAGAAGGACGGACAGGTTTAGGTTTTAATGTGGCAGCCGGGCGTGAGTGTGGCATGGGCAGGACCAGGAGCTATAGGCACTGCCCCGTGGAGCAGCACTAAAAGCAGCAGGGTATGAGTATCATCGAGGCGGCATACTTAGGCTTCACCATCAGTCTCTTTGGGAGTCATAAAATTTCTTCAAGGGTGTCTTAATTCTGACCACTAATATCAAGATTAGATAAAGAACCATATAGCCAAATTTGCTAGGCTAAACACATTTTTATAACATTGTTAATTAAAATAATAAATCAGTAGCCATCGCTGTTCTTTAAATAGTGGTACTTCTTTTATCTTTTTTAGGTACGTATCAGATTTAGACAAATGTCTGTGTGTGAAGGAAGTCATTATGGTTACATTTTTAACACTCTTAGAAATGTACTTATTGTTATTACATTCTCCGCGTGTGCTTTTGTTCCAGCACTGCAGGTTGCATTTGGGTCACTATATCGAGATGACGTCTTAATAAAGCCCAGTCGAGTTGTTGCAATCTTGGCAGCTGCTTGTATGCTGCAGTTGGTGAGTATCATGTTAGTCAAACAAAAGATATGGTGGTGTTTTTGTTTCAGTGTATCCATTCTAAAATCAGAAATAAAGTTTTTTATAAGTTTTGAAATAAAAGTGAAATGGCACTTGTTATAAATTTTGTAAAATGCTTAACCTGAAGCAGTTTATTACAACTGAGTGGGTCATGGTATCTGTGCATGAATGTAAGGTGTTTCCGTGTAGGATCTTAGTATGATTAGAATTTGGGGAAAAGGTACTTTTCTGAGTTCATTTATAGATTTTTTTTTTTTTTTTTTAAGAGAGAAATTTTTTTGCTATAGGATACATGTGCTCGCCGGAGAGATGGAGAGAGACAAAGAAAGAAATTTATCCCCAGGGTAATGGCCACACTGTAATCCCTTCTCCTCCTTTTTCCTTTCAGGATTTTGGGCACGCGCGCGTGTGCACACACACACACACACACACACACACACACACCCGGCATGAGTTGTAAGCCACCAGGTTCGGGACTTGGGCCGTGGTCAGCTATGTGGGAGTCCAGTGACGTGACCAGTGCATCATCTGCTGTCCCTTCGTTTGCAGATTTCTGTTAATGACTTATCTTGACGATGAAGCAGATGGCTTATGATTACCAATTAATTGAGTACGTGGGTTCAAAAACCCATTAGTGCCTGCTATTGAAACTTCTTAATTATGAAATAATTATGTGTAAGCCACATATGAATTTTAATTTACTGGAAGAGTGACAGATTTGTTCATTCACCCAGAAGTGTATTGAGCAATGTGTCAAACCTAGGCATAGAAATTCAAAAGTGAATAAAAATGCAGGCCCTACCTTCGAGGAGCTCACCATATGCTGTGTGTGCAGAGTGGGAAAGGCAGGGTCGTTACACAAACTCAGAAGTAAAATATGAGTCACCCGATATTACAGGTGTGGTGTAAATGGCTGTAGCATTTAGCGGATGCGTAAAGGAGGGACCAGTTCAACCTGGTGGTGTCATAGGAGGAAGTTAGGTTTCCAGGTTGACTTGAGAGTCGAAAGTTTGTTTATCATATAAAGTAAGGAGAGCGGGGAAGGAAGAGCATTTCACACAGAGGGAACAGAGTAAACTAAGACTTAGACGTGATACACAAAGGAAAACTAGAGGATCCAAGGAATATGGCTCTAGAATAAATGTAAGACGAGAGATGGAAGCAGAAATCAGACCACTGCTAAGAAGTATAGTTTTTTAAAAGAATCACTTATTATAATTATTTTTCTATTTTATTATTTTTTCTTTTTTTTTGGAGAGGTGTTTGCTATAGGGCACGCGTGCTCACCAGAAAGCCAGAGAGAGACAGAGAGATAGAAAGTAAAAAATCACCCCCCAGGGGGGATGGCCACTCCACAATCCCTTCTCCTCCATTCTCCTCTTGGGATCTTGGGCATGCACACACATACGCCTGGTGTGAGTTTAAGCCACCTGGTCCGGGACTCAAATCGCGGTCAGCTACATGGGAGTCCAGCAACATAGCCATTATGCTAACTGCTGGTCCCCCATTATTTTTCTATTTTGACCAGAGAGAGACAGAGAAAAAGAGAGAGCAAGAACCACCAGGTCCAGGACTCAAACCGTAATCAGCCATGTGGGTACACAGCACCTTTAACTACCATGCCACCTGCCGGCCCTAAGAACTAGAGTACACACACACACACACACACACACCCGGCATGAGTTGTAAGCCACCAGGTTCGGGACTTGGGCCGTGGTCAGCTATGTGGGAGTCCAGTGACGTGACCAGTGCATCATCTGCTGTCCCTTCGTTTGCAGATTTCTGTTAATGACTTATCTTGACGATGAAGCAGATGGCTTATGATTACCAATTAATTGAGTACGTGGGTTCAAAAACCCATTAGTGCCTGCTATTGAAACTTCTTAATTATGAAATAATTATGTGTAAGCCACATATGAATTTTAATTTACTGGAAGAGTGACAGATTTGTTCATTCACCCAGAAGTGTATTGAGCAATGTGTCAAACCTAGGCATAGAAATTCAAAAGTGAATAAAAATGCAGGCCCTACCTTCGAGGAGCTCACCATATGCTGTGTGTGCAGAGTGGGAAAGGCAGGGTCGTTACACAAACTCAGAAGTAAAATATGAGTCACCCGATATTACAGGTGTGGTGTAAATGGCTGTAGCATTTAGCGGATGCGTAAAGGAGGGACCAGTTCAACCTGGTGGTGTCATAGGAGGAAGTTAGGTTTCCAGGTTGACTTGAGAGTCGAAAGTTTGTTTATCATATAAAGTAAGGAGAGCGGGGAAGGAAGAGCATTTCACACAGAGGGAACAGAGTAAACTAAGACTTAGACGTGATACACAAAGGAAAACTAGAGGATCCAAGGAATATGGCTCTAGAATAAATGTAAGACGAGAGATGGAAGCAGAAATCAGACCACTGCTAAGAAGTATAGTTTTTTAAAAGAATCACTTATTATAATTATTTTTCTATTTTATTATTTTTTCTTTTTTTTTGGAGAGGTGTTTGCTATAGGGCACGCGTGCTCACCAGAAAGCCAGAGAGAGACAGAGAGATAGAAAGTAAAAAATCACCCCCCAGGGGGGATGGCCACTCCACAATCCCTTCTCCTCCATTCTCCTCTTGGGATCTTGGGCATGCACACACATACGCCTGGTGTGAGTTTAAGCCACCTGGTCCGGGACTCAAATCGCGGTCAGCTACATGGGAGTCCAGCAACATAGCCATTATGCTAACTGCTGGTCCCCCATTATTTTTCTATTTTGACCAGAGAGAGACAGAGAAAAAGAGAGAGCAAGAACCACCAGGTCCAGGACTCAAACCGTAATCAGCCATGTGGGTACGCAGCACCTTTAACTACCATGCCACCTGCCGGCCCTAAGAACTATAGTTTTTGCATGTAATTTCCTTTGGATGATTTTAATCAAGGGAAAGACAAAGTTATAGTTTTGAAAGACTACTTCAGGAACAACGGGAAGAATGAGTTGAAGGCAAGAAGAGTACAGTATTCCAGATAATGCAGAGCTACTGCAGCAGCCCAGGATAGTGTCTAAATTAGGGTAGTAGCAATAGACTTGGCTGGTAAACCTCAACTTGGTGACAGATGAGAAGTTAAGAGGAATGGGGAGGAGTCTAGAATGATTTACGGATAAGCTTCATCTCCTAATGGACCCAATGTGTTTGATTTTAATTCAAAAAGAAAAATTGTTTCCTTTTATGTGGCATTATATACTAATTCATTTGAAGTATTAGCTAAAAGGTTGCGAAATGTCTGTTGAGATCACTTGATGTTTTAAATGTTTTGATCCTTTCCATACTTATTGCCAATAAGTATACTTTATTTTCTAACTTGGGTCCTTTTGGTTTTGTTCTAAGTTGACTTTCTGCATTGTTTTTATGCTTTAATAACTCTCTAACTTAATAATATACTTGCATGATGATGAATATATTTCAGAAATTTGAATGAAGGGCGATAGTATTCTTTCTATATATTAACATTAGCTTATTTGAAACCTTCTAGATAAACATTTTAGATTAAAATTGTAAAGTGTTTAAAGCAATAGTGTATCTGTTTTAGGTTCCTCTCTTAGATATTAATAGATGGTTTGAACTTAAACACTTTCTGCTGAAACTTACTGTTTACTTGCCTAGTCCCTCACATGATAAGCTGACTATATAGAGAGTTCTTCATTTAAAAAGAACAGGCAAAACAGATAAAATGATGCTAAAGAAATTTGTAAAGGTCCCAGAATGAGAAAGAGTAAAAAAGAAAGAGTAGAAATACTCATCTCTGCCTTATTGCTTCCTCCTCCCACCTTCATTTTCTAACTCCAAATACATAAGTGAGTGAGTATTGTTGGACCTTTTTCAATATTTGTATTGGACTTTAAAAAAAAACAAAAAACACTTAGGCTTGCTACACTTAATGAGTTTTCTTTCTTTTCCTTCTTTTTTGCTTTTTTAATAATATGTAAAAGCACATAGCAGAGCTAATTTTTCCCACGTGAAATGGGCCTTTCCAGTGCTTATTTATATTTACAGGATGGTTTAATACAGCAGTGTGGTGAGACGATGAAGGAGACAATTAATGTGAAAACCGTATGTGGCTATTACACGTCCGCAGGGACCTATGGCTTAGACTCTGTAAAGAAAAAGTGAGTTACCTTTCTTGTTTTTCTCTCCCATTCCACTTAGGGAACTTGGTTGCTTTGGTTTCTTAAGAGAATGCATATCTATAAGAAAGAATTAAGAAAAAAAAGGGATGAGGGACAACCTTTCACTTTCAGAGTAATTAGTAAATTCCTCAAAAGTGTTGTCTGTATACGTGACCATGGGTAGGTTATGCATGCTTATAAAAACTATGGTGGGAACCAGCAGTTAGCGTAATGGCTATGTCGCTGGACTCCCACGTAGTCGACCGCGGTTCGTGTCCCAGACCCGGTGGCTTAAAACTCACGCCGGGCGCGTGTGCGTGCGTGCCCAAGATCCCGGGAGGAGAATGGAGGAGAAGGGATTGCGGCGTGACCATCCCCCCTGGGGGGTGATTTCTCGCTTTCTGTCTCTATGTCTCTCTCTGTCTGTCTGGCGAGCGCACGCGCCCTATAGTGAAAAAACCCTCTCAAAAAAACTATGGTCACTCTTTATATTGAGTTGTCGGAAAAGTCATGATGCATTTGTTTGCAAAGAAAAATATGTCATGACTTTTCCAGCCACATTTGCTACAAAACTTGCTTACACAATAGGTATAATAGGTATTGTGTCAGTGCAAGCATAGGTGACCTTTTTAACTCTTGAGGATTGTAATACCTATTTTCAGATTTTAAGGTTATAGAAGTATGCAAGTCCCTTCATAAACCATTTAACACACACTTGAGATTAAGTTTTCTTAATTAAATATGCTCTTATTAATATAAAGGGAATAGTCCCATAATAACTACTGACAAAAACAATACTAAATTTCTGATTGTTAAGCAAGGAATCTGAAGCATGTGCTAGCAAAATTAACATTCTGTTTTAATTTTAACTATAAGTCCTACTTATATAGTGTATTAATTACATATTTTCATTTCAGGTGCCTTGAATGGCTTCTAAACAATTTGATGACTCATCAGAATGTTGAACTTTTTAAAGAACTCAGGTATTTGAATTTCAATTACTTTGTAGTTAATCATCCTAAAATGTTTATTATTTGTTAAAGTATGTGAGATATTTATTACTTATGAAAAAGTGAACAAATTATTGAAAGGTATCTTGACTACATTTGTGAAATGAAGTGCTACACAAATTTCTTTGTATAAATGATACAATGTGTTAAGTCATTGGGAAAGTTGTGACTTTTTTTTTTTTTTTGGAGAGGTTTTTGCTATAGTGTGCATGCACTCGCCAGAAAGACAGAGGGAGACAGCGAGAAATCACCGTTTAGAGGGGGTGGCCACACTGCAATCCCTTCTCCATTCTCTTGGGATCTCAGGCACTCACGCACATGTGCCTGATGTGAGTTTAAGCCACTGAGTCCGGACTCGAACCGCGATCTACTACATGGGAGTCCAGCAACATAGCCATTACTCCAGCTGCTGATCCTGATGCATTTTTGCATAGAAAAATGTCATGACTTTCCTGATGACCCAATATATTGTCTATACTGTTTTAACCAATTTTAATGGTAAAATGCATTGCTACTATAAGACTTAAAAAGTTTCAAGTGTTACCTCACTTCTGTAGAGCTCCTAGAGAATCTTACAGAAATCTCATTGAAGAAAGTTATATTTCAAAAATCACCTTTACCATTGTGAAATTAAGTTTGAAGAAATTGTTTTGAGACCAGCAGTTAGCATAATGGCTATGTAGCTGGACTCCCATGTGGTCAACTGTGGTTCGGGTCTCAGACCGAGTAGCTTGAAACTCACGCTGGGCGCGTATGCATGTGTGCCCAAGATTCCGAGAGGAGAATGGAGGAGAAGGGATTGCAGCGTGGCCATCCTCCCTGAGGGGTGATTTCTTGCTTTCTGTCTCTCTGTCTCTGTCTGTCTGGCGAGCGCACACGCCCTATAGCAAAAACCTCTCAAAAAAAAAAAAAGAAATTGTTTTAAACCTTTACTAAGCCTAATGGAATTAAATTTACAACTAGGGTACCCTTTTGAATTAAGTTAATTTATTATTCATTCATTCGTTTATTCTTACAACAAATACTTCCTGAACATCCTTGTGTACAAAGATACTCTGTTGGGGGCTGTGCAGGATGTAGAGATGATGTCATTGTCTCAGCTGTCTGGGAGCTGAGTTAAGTAAAGGGCCTGAGATAGCTAGAGTGACGGGTCTGAGAAATTCAGGCTGGTAGGCTGTACGGTCATTTCCAGGCTTGCATTTCCTTGACACCGGTGCCTCTGAGACAAGAATACAAATGTCCCCAGGGAATATGTGGCATTGTTATAGAAATGTACAAACCCAAAGACTTAGCAGTGCATTGCTTTCTACCAATATTACAGATTCTGGGGGACCAGGGGAAGGGTAGAAGAGAGGTAAACTTTTATGTTTAAATAGATTATGGATTGTAAAGAATTTGAATTTCTTTGACTTCTCAAAATTTATAGAAGCATTTTTTATGGCTAAATCACCTCCTAGATTCTTGGGTTCTCTTTTTTTCCCTCTGCCCTGAAGGGGTACTTTGCGTTTACTACTTGGTGATGTCGAGGCGTGACCATATCTCTGTAGCGTGTTCAATTTGGAAATCATTAGAAATACTTTAATTTCTTTCTCTCTTATAATTTCTCATTGAACTTTTTCAAAAGGATGCAGAACTATAATGGTTATCTTAAAAACCTACTTAAAGAGTTAAAGAATGGAAGAAAAAAGGAAAACCAAAACAAACATAACGTGGTATTATTTCTACTCCACATTTAAACTAACATATATTTTCTGATTTTATTCTTTTTAATATTAAAAAAAATTATATGACTTAGCATTTCTCTTAAGCCTAGGTTAAGGATTACTTTGATGATAAAGCTGTTTGAGTGAATTTTGACAAGTAGCTTTAAAAAAAAACATAGAAGTAGGATAGCAGAAGGCAAAAAAAGGAAGGCTGCCACTTGGTCAGAGCACATGGAAAGTCACGTCGTGGGGCTTTGCGTTAATTTGATTTGAAGCAGATGAAAGCTCTTCCTATTTGGTTCCCCATCACTGTGAAAAAAGACCTGTCATTGCACCCTATCTGAATTAAAAGTGTCCTTGTATCCAGCTAGGTGGTTTTCTAAGATTCTTTATCTTGGGCGGGAAAACTGTTGCTGTTTAATTCCTTATCTTTTGATAAGAAAGTCTTAAATTTTTAGTTCCTGGGCTGGTCTATGCTTGAGTGACTGGCTGAGTGCAGTTTGACTTGGCAGCTTGGGAAACACTCCAGCTGCCTATGTGTGTCCAAAATTCCAAAAAGAGGGAGAAATGGAGGAGAGGGGATTACAGCATGCCCCCTCGGAGATGCTCTCTCACTTTCCCTCTCTCTGTTTTTCTGTTTCCAGCAAATGCAGAGGCCTTCTGGCACTTTTTTTTTTTTTTTAATTTGTGTGGTACCACTGAGGTCTTTCAGCCTGCGTGGAGCTCACTGCCTTTATTTTGTCTTTCCAGTATAAATGTCATGAAACAGCTCATTGGTTCATCTAACTTATTTGTGATGCAAGTGGAAATGGATGTATACACAGCTCTAAAAAAGGTACTGACATCTGACAGTGTTTGCCAGGATATTGCCTCAGCACGAGAAGCTGGAAATAGCTGGTATCCAGTGATAAAGGGATGGTTATAAATGTCAGAAAAGAAAAAGGAAATATGCCAGAACACTAAAAAGTCTTAAACTTAAGTACTTGGTGATATGAGTTATTTCAACTTTGTATATTTCTAATTAGGAATCCTGTTCTGTTTTTTTTCCTCAGATTTGATTTTCATCAACAAATGTGTTATTTACATAATCAGAAGTGTTTTATGTGAAAGGTGTAATCGAGTTTAAATGTTTCATAGGGTTTTTAGGAATGTTTTTCAAGTTGAGCTTTAATTGAATGAATGATTTATGATGGAAATTTTCACAGATTTTTTCTAGAAAATGTTGAGATTCTCCTGATAAAGGCCTGTGTGCCCTTCAGGCATATGTTTCACTTCCTCCTGTTGAAAGGTTTCGGTGTGCATTAATATAATTTTATGTTCACAACTCTGAAGAGATCAGTCGCCTGTTATCCTTGTACTGTAGATGGGGAGACTCAGACGTCTTACAGTTACCACATGGCAGACTTGAGGCAGAGGCAGGTATTCCGAGCACTAGTCCACGCTCCCTTACCACTGCATCATTTCGTCTTTATGCCCTTTTTCCCCCAGCATGGAGTGTTGTCTGCTTTTAACATAGTTGTGAGACCCGGGAGTGTTAGGTTTTATTGTTGGGATTGTTTGTTTCTATGGTAGAGATAAGATTCTCTTACTGATTTTATTAAGGGACCTTTTTATCTGGGCTATCTCATCTTTAAGGCAGTGGTAGCGAGCCCATTTCTACATACCAGCCATGGTAGTGTTCAATCTCTCTTTCCTGTTGTCTTAGCTGCTTTTATGCCAGTGATGAAAGAAATGATACCTCCATGGCACTTATTGTGTGCCAAGCATCATTCTAGGTGTGTCACACAGATTCGTTCTTCTGATGGTCTGAGAGGTAGATAAATGTGTTACCATGCTTATTTTAAAATTGAAGAAAGCAGCCAGCTTGTGGCATAGTGTGGTTAAGGTGGCTGGATCCCACATGGCCAACTGCATGGTTCCAGTCCCGGACCTGGTGGCTTGAAGGGTGCATGTGCATGCATGCCCAAAATCCCAAAAGGAGAATAGAGGAGAAGGGATTGTGGTTTGGCCATCCCCTGGGGGTGGGGGGAGGGGTGCTTTTTTATTCCTCCCCCCCACACTCTCTCTGTGTCTTTTTCAGATGAGTACACATGCCCTCTAGCAAATTATAGGGGGAAAAGGAAAAAAATAAGGTCTTTTTATGTAGTAATCTACATAAAAAATATGTATGTTTATGACCATAAATACTTTTCAGAGATTACCTTACTGCTTAGCACATATACATCCAGTTTTTTTGGGTTTTCTAAATTTTAAAAAATGTATTTATTCATTATTGCCAGAAGGTGCATTCGCTCACCAGAGAAAGAGAGCATGCACACTTGCGCACACAACCCAGTGGGGCATGGTTTTGCTACAACACTTCGCCAGCATTTCGGCAGTCCTGACAGGGCTTTGGGCGCACACACACACTCACGCCCGCCATGTTTTTCAAGCTGACAGGGCCAGGATTCAAGCCAGGGTATCCAGTTCCCTATGTGCAGCCACACTGTGCTGTGGGGCTGGCCCACACATCCAGTTTTATCATTGAACTGTGATTGATGCCACGATGAATTTAAACCTTGTCAACCTGGCATGTAAGTTCTTTTTTTCAGTTACTCAGAAAGTGAAAATTAAATTTTTAAAAGTATTATATACTTTAAGGTAGAAGCAATTTGAAAATGTGAAATCATAAAACAATGAAGTTTTATAATTGTTATTTATTATTGTTTTAACATAGTGGATGTTCCTTCAACTTGTGCCTTCTTGGAATGGATCTTTAAAACAGCTTTTGACAGAAACAGATGTTTGGTTTTCCAAGCGGAAAAAGGGTATGTCTGATTTTTTTTTTTAATGAAATTCATTAAAATCAGTCCCTGACTTGTTCATGGACTTAATTTTAGAGCTGGGAAGGACCTTAACAGTTATCTAAGTCAGACTCATTTACAATGAAAAAAATCAAATCTCAATTTAAAATAAAATAAAGCCTTACCAAGGATTATCTAAATTATTACTTTACACTAGCACCATATTTGGATCATCTGAAACAATTGTTTTCCCATTTTAACACCAACAGATCATAGTGATTACATTTATCTTCTGTTTGACCACACTGAATTTTCCCTAACAAACTATACCCTATCAGACAACAGTTCTTAACACAGGATCCCGTGTTAAGAACCTCCACGTATCGGGAACCAGCAGTTGGCGTAATGGCTATGTTGCTGGATTCCCACGTAGTCGACCGCGGTTCGTGTCCCGGACCCGGTGGCTTAAAACTCACGCCGGGCGCGTGTGCGTGTGTGCCCAAGATCCCGAGAGGAGAATGGAGGAGAAGGGATTGCGGCGTGACCATCCCCCCTGGGGGGTGATTTCTCGCTTTCTGTCTCTATGTCTCTCTCTGTCTGTCTGGCGAGCGCACGCACCCTACAGTGAAAATCTCTCCAAAAAAAAAAAAAAGAACCTCCACGTATCAGTAACCGCCACAAGTGGGTACAGAACTTGATGAATGCATGTATGGCCTGAATTGTTGTGGAAGACTTTTGTACCTTTCCTCAAATTCTCAGTGGAGAATTATATAAAATTGGATAGGATCATTAGCAGCATGAGTCTGGCTCTGTGGCCTAGTGGTTAAGGTACTTGGATTTCTACATGGCTGATGATGAGGTTCGAGTCCTAGCCCCAGTGGTTCAAGAAACATGCTGGACATGTGTGCCTGCATGCCAAAATCCTAAAAGGAGGGAGAAGTGGAGGAGAAAAGATTACAGTGTGGCCACGCCCCATGGTGGGGGGTGCATTTTCCTCTTTGTCTTTATCTCTCTGTCAAGTGCAAAAGCCCACTGCTAATATATATATGTGTGTGTGTGTGTGTGTGTGTGTGTGTGTGTGTGTATATATATATGTATAAAATCTCTAGGAAGCTGTTTATAAGGGTACCTACTAACACCACTCACATTATGAAGGCCTTATCTGGGCAGAGAGTAGCTGCAAAGTTGTTTAATATTTACTTCTCTTAAACAGAGCTAGAATAAAATTTTAAAGGACCTTCAGGTACAAAGGATTAGATACGTCATATTCTCACATTTATGATTTTCTTAGTTTAACTGTCATTGTGGGTGTGTGCATGGTTACCTTTTTAATACTATATTGAACTACTATGAACTAATCTTTAAGTATAGAATATTAATAACTTAAGTTCAATGGTGTACCTCTTTTCTCACGTCGCACTGACTTCCCCTAACCACTGTCTTGAAGTTTGTATTTATTCTTTTGCTTTTTTTAAGTTTCTTTGCCATAGGATGTGGATACACTTGCTGGAGAGAGACAGAGAGAGGGGAAAGTGAGAAGTCACTCCTCAGGGGGATGGCCATGCCAGAGTCCCTTCTTCATTCTCTTCCTGCTGGTCCCAACAATAGAAATTCTTACAGAACATTATCTACACGATTACTTAGGAATTGCTATTGATTTTGGTGGATGCTGTTAGTATGGCCGCATGTTGGCTAACAAGCAACTTTAAAACCTATCTTTTCAAGTCTTTGTATTTTTTTTTTTTTTTGAAGGTTTTTGACACAGGGCTCATGCACTCACCTGGGAAAGACAGTGAGAGGGAAAGTAAGAAATTATCCCCCACCACCACCCTGGATGGGATGGCCAGGCTGCCATCCCTTCTCCGTTCTCTTCCTGGGATTTTGGACATCCATGTTCACATGCCTGGCATGTTTTTCAAGTTGTCAGGTCCGGGACTCCAGGGACTTAACCACTACACCACACTGGTGGTCCCCTGAGTCCATGAATTCTTTTTTTTTTTTTAATTTATTTATTTACATTCATTCACTGTACATCATTACAGCATACAAAATGAGATTTTCCTTCCAGAATACACTGTATATTGGCTCAACCAAGCACATCAGCATACATGTTATTGCCAACAAATAATTTTCCATTTCCTATTTCCTGTATATTTTGCTTTTTTCCCCATCCTTGATTCCCTATCTCTCACCCTCTGCCATCTCCTATCCTCCTCCCACACTGTCTATGGTATCTATGGTTACTTTCTATGCCTTCCCCCCACCACCACATTTTATTGATTCACTAAAGATCTTAATTCATCTAAATATTTTGAATAGCAAGCACAGCTAATATATACATATCCATGAACACAAGTCTGACTTTAGGCATAAACCTCAGTGAGTAAAATGAACATACTATAACATAGCACCTCGCTGGGACTATATAGCTTATTGCAGTCATCAAATAGATATTTTTAGTGCATTTTTTTTTAAATTTCAAGAAAAACAGTTTTAGGTTTTTGCCTAAAACTTTTTTTAAACTTAATTAATTTACATTAGTGAATTTTAGGCCTTTCCTTCCCCTCATGAAAGCACAGTGGGATGCAGCTAAGTAATTTTTAGAAATAACCTTGAATTCTCCCTAAAGGAAAAATTATTCATATATGCATAAGCTGAAATTATTTTAATAACTTATTAATACTACCCAAATATTGCAAATCTGTGGCTACAATATGATATTTTGTATCTCTTATGTAAGTTTTATCTTTTTTTTTAAAATTTGCCACAGGGTATAGGCACTAGCCAGAGAGAGATAGAGAGGAAGAGAGAAGAGGAAGAAGGCACCCCTCCATGGAGTGTGGTCACACCACAATGCCTTCTCTTCCACTTCTTCATCCTATTGAGATTTTAGACACACATGCACATGTTCCTGGAAATTTTTTTTTCTCCCCATGGGAGCAAGAATTTGAACTGTGTGGTTGGCCATGTGTGATCTGGCTCCCTTAACCCCTGGGCCATGGGGCTGATCCTGTTTTAATTTTTTTAAAGGTCTATTTATTTGTTTCTTCCATGAGAGAGACAGACAGGCAAATACCCCCACAGAGTCCTCATGCTGGAGTCCGTCCCCAGTCTTAGCTGGCCCTGATCATATGCATTGTGCATGTGCTCAGGGAAGTCCTGGGACATGAACCCTGGACTTTTTGTTTTCGCATGTGGGTCCAGCCTCATTGCCACTGCTACACACTTGGCCCTTATTTCATATTATAGTAGAGAATTAATGTATTAGCTGGTGTTTATCATATATGACTAAAGCCTAAGTTAGAATTCTAAAAATGTTCCATGTCCTGTGTATCTTGGGAAGATCCTTGAGTGAGGCTTTTTAGCTCTAGAACTTCACGAGTCAATCCCTATGAGAGGGAGTTCTGGAAAGGCAGTGCAACCCCAAGTACCTGTTTAAGCCTTCCTTTCCCTTCCTTTGCTACACTGTAAGTCCAGCCCGGAAGGTGTAGAGCTGAATTCCCAGCCCAAGGGCCTAGTTAGGACAAAGTTCATTTCCTGGATTTTCTTTCTGAGTTTTTACTTACAGTCCTGAGGTTTATAAAATTCTCAAAAACTTTGAAACTTTATGATTTCTATTCTAATAAACTTTGTGTGTGTGTATATGTGTGTACCTATCCACAAAAAAGTTTAGAAATAAGATAATAGATTTGAAAAAGATGGCTATTTAATTGGAACTCTTTTTACAGATTTTGAAGGTGTAACCTTCCTTGAAACAGAGCAAGGAAAACCATTTGTGTCAGTGTTCAAACATTTAAGGTTACAATACATTATTAGTGATCTGGCTTCTGCAAGAATTATTGAGCAAGATTGTCTGGTACCTTCAGGTAAGAACACATTATTAACTTATTAAATTAATTTTTTTTTATTATTGGCACATACTATCATAGAAAAGAATAATAAAGAAGTTAGAAATCCTTACTCAGAAAAAAGTATACATTTATATGCCAAAGTGGGATCATACTGTGTAGGTAATTTTCTGTGCTCACGTTGTATGCTAATGGGTATTTTCCTGTATTAAGTTTTGTTAAATATTCTCCAGAACATTTTTTTTTCTTTTTTAACAGAGAGTTTTGCTTTAGCATATATGCACTTGCCAGAAAGAGAGAAACAGAGAGACAGCAAGAAATCACCCCTCGGGGGAGCTTGGCCACACTGCAGTCCCTTCTCCATTCTCCTCTCGGGATCTTGGGCATGCACACACATGCTTCCAGCATGAGTTTTAAGCCACCGGGTCCAGGACTTGAACTGCGGTCAACTATGTGGGAGTCCAGTGACATAACCATTACACCATCTGCTGGTTTCAAGAACATTTAAATGGCTATATAGTGTCCTGGAATATGATTGTTTTTTAATTTGACTAACTAGTACAATATTTTTCTCTCACATTTTTAAAAATGACTTACTGTTTTTAAAAGTTTTAACTGCTTTCTCCATTAGTACTCCTTAAATTTGCTTATTTTTTTGGTGTCGTCTTGTGTTTTTTTTTTTAAAGAGAGATTTTTGCTATAGGACATGTATCATGGCTGGAGAGATAGAGACAGAGAGACAGAAAGCGAGAAATCACCCTCCAAGGGGGATAGTCATGCCGCAGTCCCTTCTCCTCCATTCTCCTCTTTGGGATTTGGACATGCCTAGCGTGAATTTTAAGCCACTGGGTCTGGGATACAAACTGTATGTGACTACATGGGAGTCCAACGACATAACAATTATGCCATCTGCTGGTCCCTCTTATTCTAAAATCTTAAACTACATGTTGAATAAAATGTAATATCTTTGCTAACTATTATTTGGAACAACTACTAGCTTACTTTTTTTTTAAGAATTATTTTATTTTACTTATTATAAAGTTTAACCAGAGAGAGGGAGGGAAAGTGAGAAGGTAAGCCTCCCGGTCCAGGACTTGAACCATGGTCAGCCATGTGGCAGTCCAGTGCCTTAACCACCAAGCCACTTGCCCGCCCCACTAGTTTAATTTTCTAAATTAAAATCTCTAGTCCTTGTGAAAGATTCAGTTTAGTACTCTATACACATAGAAGAAGTAGAAAATAGGATTTCTGTTTGAAGATTTACTTGTAAATTTATAATATTTGTAGTAATCAAAGTAATAGATTTGTCTGAAAAGTTGTCATTATTGGGAACCAGCAGTTAGCATAATGGCTATGTCGCTGGACTCCCACGTAGTCAACCATGGTTCGCGTTTCGGATCCGGTGGCTGAAAACTCACGCCGGGCGTGTGTGCGTGCGTGCCCAAGATCCCGAGAGGAGAATGGAGGAGAAGGGATTGCGGTGTGACCATCCCCCCGGGGGGTGATTTCTCGCTTTCTGTCTCTCTGTCTCTCTCTGTCTGTCTGGCGAGCGCACGCGCCCTA